TGAGTTGTCAGCTTCACGCCCGGCCGCTTTATCACCGTGGAAAGAGCCCCCAGTACCTATTGGATAGGAGGCTGAGTGGGCCCCAGAGCCGGTTTAGACGACGTGGAGAAAAGAAAATTCTTGACCCTACCGGGACTCGAACCCCGAACCCTCAGTGGTCCAGACCGTAGCCAGTCGCTATCCCGGCTGTCGCGTAGGAGTATACGTCTAACTGAAATTAAAATAATTTACAAATGAATTCAAGAAGCATGCGTTGTCAGCCTTTGTTACAGAAAAGGGTTCGCAAAGCGTAGGAGGTAGGATAATAATGGAGTATGAGGAGTTTGTCCTCTGGAATATGAGTTCGTTCAAAGTCAACCGACGTTTCGGAAGTGCTCTCCAGCATGAAACAAAGATTTGATTGTAAACTGCTTTGTGCCGGTTTCATTGGTTTATTCTTTGACCCTGAAGGTGAAAAACATGTTCCTCCGAAACGTCGGCTGATTTTCAGCAGGCTACAGGATGTATCCCAGAAGATGGATTCACTGATGGTTAAATGTAACATTCATAACGACTAATGAAGAGCCGATCACAGTGGCCGCGTGTTCTAAGGCATGAACTGTCTTCGTCCCCTCGAACGCTGTGATCGTGGGTTCGAATCCCACTCGAAGCATGGATGTCTGTGTTTATTCCGTGTTTGTGTTGTTCTGTGTGTAGGTAGCGGACTTGCGACGGGCTGATCCCTCGTCCAGGGAGTCTACAGACTATGTATGGGATCAAGAAACTGAAAAAGCTGCCAAGGTCCAACAGAGGGCTGTAGAGCCATATTTATAATGAAGATGATTAAAGCTAATGAACTGCTATAAATTTCTGACCCCCAATTTAATTTTATGCACCATAAAATTTCACTTGACCCAGGAGGTCCGTGTTTTAATGTACCAGATTGGCTCATTTGACCAAGCCCTGATGTGATTAAATGGAATTTCCGTTATGAATGAGGCCATAAACATCGTAAGCAATTTTGATTGACCAAATTAGGAGCGACTTAGAGCCACCAGTCATTGGCATTTATTAGGTAATTTGGCAACGAATCTAGAGGCGCTACGTTTGCAGTTTGGACTCGATCATAAATAAAAGCGACCACGACACAGATTTCTGTAAGCAAGACGTTCGAACTGTAATGTTCATCTGTCTCAATTCCCTCGAGTTACGTGAAATGAGAAGCTAGACATGTACGTCACGAGTGACGTCATGAAAAGTGATTCCTACCACTTTAACTGCCTCCAGTCTTCAGATGGAACTACCCCACAGATTGATATGTAAAGACGCAATCAATTCTTAGGACATGTCTGTTGTATGTGTTACATTAAATGTGGGGGGAGTTGTTTAATAGACCGCCTCCGTGGTCTAGTGGTCAGAGTTCCTGGCTACAGATCCAGAGGTCCTAGGTTCGATTCCCGGCGCTACCAGATTTTCTGAAAAGTAATGGGTCTGGAACGGGCTCCACTCAGCCTCGTGAGGATAATTTCAAGGAATTAGCGGCTCAGTTCTAGAAAACTGAGATTAACGGCCGTGGGAAGTTTTTATTTTTTTTATTGTAGAAAAAAATGTTGTAAATGCAAAAAAGGCCTAGGCAATGCCCATCCGGCCTTCTGTAGCACAAGGCCTTCGGAATCCGTTGCGCTGATCACGCGATGTCCTCTGTCCACTAAAGTTGGCACTAACTTCGTTGACAAGCGGCGGTCCCTGGAAGCGAAGTACGGTTTTTTTTTTTGTTTGAGTAGCGAGAAAGATTTTGTTGCAGCCACTGGTCTATTTGCCGATCACAGTGGCCTCATGGTCTAACGCAGAGGTTCTCAACCGTTGTGAGACATCGGCCCGGTATTTTTTATTTTTAAGATGAGGGCCAGGTACAATTGATGCCAGGGCCTGGTACCGGGCCGCGGCCCGCCGGTTGAGAAACACTGGTTTGAGGCATGAGCTGTCTTCACTCGCTCTAATGCTGGGATCATGGGCTCGAATCCGCTGAAGAAACTGAAGTGAAACAAAGCATTTCACGGATGCCCTATGCCCCACAGTGAGAGCAGCAGGAAAGAGAGAGAGGCCGGTCTATTTGGAATACTTGTATGTTACTAGTTAGAATTCATTTTGTTGGAATTTTAGGGAGAAATTATTTCCGTCTTGAACATTGTTACTTTGTGATATCACAGAGAGCGACTGAATTATTTTGTGGGTTATTTAACAACACTTTCACTATTGAGGCTATACAAGATGGTAGATGATTTGGAAGGAGGCGGTTGTCACCTAATCGAGGTTCTTATCCTGGAATTTTCTTGGAAGTACTGAGGAAAAACACAAAAAATCAAGATAGTCCTACCGAGCACTTCCCAAATACAAGACTGGACGGACACCATCACACTAACCTGTTCGCTGCCTCTGTCTGCCTAGTTTGCTTGTTATGACTAGTTTAGTACCAGCGACAGTAGTTCGGTAGCTGCGACATGTTCGGTAGATTGCGTTGTTCAGTAGTTGACTAATTCGGAAGCCTTGACCGTAGTTCGGTAGCTGCGTGTAGTTCAGTAGTTGACTGGTTCGGTTCGTGTGAGTAGTTTGGAAGCCGTGACTGTAGTTCGGTTGTGACTAGTTCGGAAGCCGCGACTATTTAGGTATCTGTGACTAGTTTGGAAGTCACGACTGTGTATTTCGGTAACTAGTTCAGTAGTTGATTGTAGTTCGGTTGCGGTGACTGTTTTCATAAGCAGCAACTGTGTAGTTCGGTTGTGACTAGTTCGGAAGCTGTTAACTGTAGTTCGGTAGCTGTGACTAGTTTAGTAGTTGACTAGTTCTGAAGTCATGACTGTATTTCGGAAACTGATTAGTTTNTTGCGTGTAGTTTAGTAGTTGACTGGTTCGGTTCGTGTGAGTAGTTTGGAAGCCGTGACTGTAGTTCGGTTGTGACTAGTTCGGAAGCCGCGACTATTTAGGTATCTGTGACTAGTTTGGAAGTCACGACTGTGTATTTCGGTAACTAGTTCAGTGGCTGATTGTAGTTCGGTTGCGGTGACTGTTTTGGTAGATGTGACTGTAGTTCATAAGCAGCAACTGTGTAGTTCGGTTGTGACTTGTTCCGAAGCTGTTACTGTAGTTAGGTAGCTGTGGCTAGTTCTGAAGTCATGACTGTATTTCGGTAATTGATTAGTTCAGTAGTTGATTGTAGTTCGATTGCGGTGACGTTTGGTAGATGTGACTAGTTCGGAAGCCGTGACTAGTTCAGTAGTTGAATAGTGTGGAAGCCACGAATGTGTAGTTCGGTAGGTAGGTAGGTAGGTGCTAACGTTCCAGACTAGTTTTCAATAAGAAAAGCACTAAAACTCCATTCCCTAAGAACGTGACAACGATGGACCGAAGTAAGAAATATCGTGTGTCACGAAACGGTCGCCAAGAGCTGCTCCTCTGCGTCTGTGCTCGAGGTATGAATGAACCAGAAGTGCTACGGAGTTTCGGTGTCACGGTACTGCCATTGTGCGCCCGAAGGTCTTGAGGCCAATGAAGGAAGACTTTTCTTTCATAGACGTTACGTATTTATACGTTGGACGGAATC